AGTTAAGTTTTTAACCAAAGACTTAAACCATAAATTTATTTTCCGATGTGACACTTGTTGTCTGTAGATTTAATCCTTACTTCTGCATTATGTGGTACTAGATTACTAGTTAATAGACTAAATAGCACTAAATTTGGCCTTACAATAATAGTCAGTTGGTAACAGAAGTCTGGTAGAGTAACTGCCAGACTACTGACAAAAAGACATTTAATTTCTTCGTAAGGCCAGAGTTTTAATCTTCATTCCCTCTTTCTACTCCTTTTTCTTTGAGGATTTTAACTAGTTAATTTGTCAAAATAAAAATAACAATAATATGGTTGGTAACTATCTGATGACTAATAGGCAATAGTGAGTAGTTGTCTCTTCGTCCTATTATAATATAGTTACATGTATTTTGTAATTAGATTGTAAAATGTGATGGTCACACCCTTTATTTACACTTTGAAATATTATTATTTTTTATAACCAACATCTTTTAGAACTTTCACTTCTGATTAACATCTTTTATAATTTGAAATTAATAAAAAATTCAAAATTAATCATCAAGTTATGTACAAATCAAGTGCATATTTGAGGTTCGATTGTTAATTTTTAAATTTTTAACAAGTTTCAAAATTTTGGAGAACGTTGATTAGCAGTGAAAATTTTGGAGGGTGTTGAGTGTTAAAAACAATAATGTTGTTTAGAGTGTAAATGGAGAATTTGGCCAAATGTGAATCATCAAATCAGGAAGTCTTTAATGCATTTTCGAGATTCACCCTGTTTAATTCTTTAGTTTGTGCATTATATAAACTAAAACAGAATTTTGAATGTCAAAACCTATGTAGATAAGTAAATAACTATAGAGAGGTGTGGTGTTGGGATATTGAGAAGGTTTGTTCATCTGTTAAGTCTAGTATTTGGTTTGGTATGTTTTTTTCTTTGGATGCGGTAATGGGCGAGGATAGAAATTTATTTGGGGAGGGTTTTAGTTGAAGGTTAGGTAGAAGCGAGAAAATCAAGTTTTAGTATGATATTTGAGTGGCTAGTGAGCCTTTAAAATCAGTTTTTCCAAGATTGTTTAATCTTTCATGCAATAAGGATGGCCTGATTATTGCCCATGGGAGACTAGTCGAATGGATCTTGGTGTTGGCAGCCGCTTGGCGTCGCCCTCTTTTTGGTTGGGAGTTAGAGGAGGAAACAAATTTGATGGAGACTGCAGCCCGATGGAAAATGTGGAAGACCAAAGACGACAGATCTGTAGTAAAAGATGGGGAATATTCTTTAAACGAAGGCTACCTTTTACTGTATAATAGAAACAGGATATTGGACAAACATATTTGTGATAAGCCATGGAGTAAATTGCTTCCTTCGAAAGTGAGTTGTCTTGGGTGGCGACTAATGTTAAATAGCCTGCTAACCAAAGCTATTCTTCAGGATATATATAAGGGGCATAAAACTAAACAACAAGGCCCTGCTGTGTCTTCTATGCTCTGCGGAGGTTGAATGCGTTGATCATTTGTTTGTTAAATGCCAAAAGATTTAAATTAAAGCTGTGGAAGAGGTTGTTACATATGGTGGGGGCTGAATTTCTCCGCTCCAAGTAATGTCCCTCAACTCTGCGAGAGTCATCGTGCTGAAGGTCAGAATTAAATACGAGCGGAGATTTGGTCCTTTATATTCTGTGTCTGCAAGGTCAGTTTGACTTATAAGGAATTCTCTTTTACAAACTCTAATGCCTGGGATGAGAATTTAGTGTTCTAAATGATTCGGAGAAGAACCTTTCATTTGGCTGACGGGAA